CAACTAATATGTAGCTGGACTTGTGGTTAATCTAATGAATGCAATGAATTACAGTTTCCTATGCTGCCCTAAAAGACTTTTTCTTCTTCAGGCGGAGTTTTAGTTTCTATTTCGCTTACCTTAAAATATAATTAAGACTTCCTGCGAGATTCAGAATAAATACGTACAAGTTAGAAAGCAAAATGTACCTCTTAAGCTACATCACCCTATCACCAGTCTATTGTGGCAATCAAAGAAAGCAGACACATTTTTTTTTAATTTGCCCAGATAGACAATCGTGCAAAAATAGCTCCCTTATAACAACTGGTAGGAAAATATCAATCAATCCTAGAACCAACTAAAATAACAGAACAAAACCAAAAAATAAAAAATATTCCAGGGCATCTTGACATTTTTAAATATGGAGCAAAAGATTCATATCATCACGCCTCAAACAAATAACGAAATAAAAGCGAATAAGAAACTAGGTAAAAACATACAATGACAGATGAAGTATTAAGAGAGTCAATCTGTACATTTGGCCTCAGCCGGGCCACATCAACGAGAGGTGTTGTCTGAATTTCCGATTGGGGGTCAATTATGGGTGTGACAGCAGCAGCCGAGACAAAAGCCTCATGGGCAGATGAGGCTTCCGGCAAACACGAAGATGTTGGCAGACAGGATGTCGGAGAAGGTGGGTACTTGGTTTGTCCTTGTGGATGAGACAACTGCATCCAAACAAAACAGACAGCAGCCAAAAAGGCATATACACTTATCTGCGGCAATAGTTGCATGCATTCGTATTTATGAGGGGATATCGGCTTAAAAATGAAGATGCAGTTTGTAAGGATAAAAGACTCGCGAGATCAACGCATTCCAAAGATTCAATCTAATTTATTCGGCGAGGTCTTATATTTTTTGGATACTTACATTTTGACAAGCAGGAGTATCAGGCTGTAGGTGATATGAAGAGTAACTGGGTTTCGATGACTCTCTTTAGATAGCATTGTTGGGGAGACATTCATTTTGTATGAAATTGCATGAAGAAAAGATTCGAATGTCGAGCTCATCAGAAGAGGACGGATGAATCCCGTCTCTTTGGCTTTTATACGACGTTCAGGTTGATGCATTCCACGAGACATCCTCCTTTGCTTTGGGTGAACACGGGCTGAGTTTTCGTCCATCATATGATGGACATGATCAGAGTTGGAACTCATTCTTGTAGAAGTTTCATGTTAACACTAGGTGTTAGCATACATCATTTGATGGACGAAAGCTTAGCCCGTTTTTACCCGAAACTAGGGAGGAAATTCGTGGAATGGGTTAATCTGAACGTCGTATAAAAGGCCAACGACTGCAGTACAACGGGCTTCAGCCGTCCTCTTCTGATGAGATCAACCTTCGAATCTCTTCTTCATGCACTTTGATACAAAATGAAAGTCTCCCCAACAATGTAAGCAATATAACACAGTGCAGCATCTGGCTACTAATAGGATCATAAAGCTGTCTAACTATTACTATTTTCCCAGATTAAGACAATGAGTTTTCGCCCAGTCCCAACGCAATTTGAGCAACTTTATTTAAGTACGCAAGTATAATTAATTGGAATTTGTTCGCAGTAGACAAAATTCTAAACATTCAAATAAACTTCTTTCCTACTAGAAGTGGGTTGAACTCGATGTCAAAATTTGGTCTTATCGTCAGAGTAAGTTAGTAAAAACAACCTAGTCCAAGTCGTCTGCCATAGTAGTTGTCATGATTTCCAGCATCAGACAGTGGACTTGGTACATTCTCAAACGTTTTCGTCTGCCATAGTAGTTGTCATGATTCCCAGCATCAGACAGTGGACTTGGTACATTCTCAAACGTTTCGTTGGCATAGTAGTCGGCATCATCAGTGAGTTTTGCTATTCTCTGCACCAAGCTACTCCAATCTCCTGTTCATTAGATTTTTCTCCACAAGTTTGTCAATGGCCTCTCTAATCTTGCGCTTCCTTGTGTTGTCACCGTATGGAGCTCTCCTTTCTGTTGCCTTCCAATTGATCTCGTGTCCAGTCTGTGCGATGCGTTCCGCTAGTTCTGATCTTTCGCTATCCCATTTTCCTGCAGAGCCTCTGCTGTTTCTTGATTCGTGTGCTAATTGTTCTCCCTGTTTCGCCAATATATTTCTGTCCGCATCCGCCACATGATGTACAGTAAACTCCTGAACAATCAAATTTGTCTACCCTTTCATGTTGCATTGGTGGACTTGTGAAAAGTGTTGATTTCTCTTTCATGACCACCTGAATATTCCATTTACTCAGTATTAATCGTAGTTTTTGAGTTAGTTCGCAGAAAGGTAGGCATATCCACTTTTGTGAATCGTTCATCATTGCTAAAGATTGCAATAATGAAAAGCATGATCAGCCGAAGCCTACGCCTAACGGATGTGGAATTCTGTGACGAGGAGCTGGACATATAGACTAGGATATTGCTCGGCAATGACTACCCAAGGCAAGTAATACAAAGAAACATACGGGCCGTGAAAAGCCGATGGCAGAACAGAGACTATAAAATAATAGTAAGGACGATGAAGGATTCACAAAAGTGGATATGCCTAGCTTCATGTGAACTTATTCAAAAACTACGGCCAATATTGGGTAAATGGAATATTCAGGTGGCCATGAAAGAAAAATCAACATTTTTCGCAACATGAAAAGGTAAACAAATTGGATTGCTCATGAGTTTACTGTTTATCATACGGAGCCTGCGAACAGAAATATATTGGAGAAACAGGGAGAAAAAATGGCACATGAATCAAGAAACAGCAGAGGCTCTGCAGGAAAATGGATACCGAAAGATCAGAACTAGCGGAACACATCGCACAGACTGGACACGAGATCGATTGGAAGGCAACAGAAAGGAAAGCTCCATACATTAACAACACAAGGAAGCGGGAGATAAAGGAGGCCATTGACATCGTTTGGGAGAAAAATGTAATGAACAGGATATTGGAGGAAGGTAGAGTTAGCGATAACTTTGCCTACTGCCTAAGCAAACTCGGTGAAAACAAGAATAGATCAAGAACAGCAAAAAGGAGACGCCTGAATCAAGGATCTACCACAAACCGGAGAAAAGGGATCGCGATGAAGAAAGTAGGGGGAGGAGGTTATCGGCAATAAAGCGAAGACGTTGCCAGTACGTGATGTCCATTTTGAATAAACCTGCACAAATTTACGGGGCCTGGCAGTCAGGGAGCGGGGCAGAAGGATAAGCAAACCGTCACGGAAATTCAGCGCTATGGCCAAAATGTACTAGAAATCCACTTGAGATGCCACATGCGACCAGAGATATTCGTGCAAAGTTTTCTCATATAACATGGGTATGATCAAGGAGAAGGCCCGTTAAGGGAAGGCCTGATATCTGCAAGCATGGAAATCAAAGCTTAGGTGCTCTTCTCAGTGAAGCGACAGTTTACGTGTTTCTAGGACCTTGAGAAATAGCGCCTGGAGTGAAGTGCACACTCGGACTGGAACCGAGTAAAATCGGTCAACCAGAAAGATAGTAAATGGATCTACGAGACAATGAAGGGATCCGGATTGGAGGCCCGAGTCGGATCAGTCGATCGAACGAGAGGGGTCGGGGTAAATAGCAAGTGTGATGGGGCCACACTAGATTTGCCACAAAAGAGCACAAATTTTTCACGAGTGGAATCTAAACAAGTGAGAAATTGTGATAGGGCGGTAGTCGGATAAGAGGGTAAAGAGTAGATAGATAGACAATGACAGAAACGTCTTGTCTCTTTGACGAGTTCGTAGCTTAGGCGGCGAATGGCAAAACTCACTGATGATGCCGACTACGATTGCGGCGAAACGTTTGAGAATGTACCAAGTCCACGGTCTGATGCTAAGAATCATGACAACTACTATGGCAGACAACTTCGGACTAGGTGCGTTCTACTAAGTCGCCCTGACAACAAGAAACGAGGTCAACCCACTTTTATAAATCTAAATGAGACTGCGACCATACTAGATGCTACAACATCTTGGTCTTCATATCTTCTTTCCTACTATTATTATATCTTTGAATAAAGTCTTCGGAAAGGAAGTGGAGAATTCACACCTATTAAAACAATACAAACACGATAATTGAATCCCCAAATAAAAGGATCGGGCCGATCCTTTAGTGTTCGTTTAAAAATTATCTAACAAGGTGATGCACCTAAGCAAAGGACCCAGGCATCAGAGAAGGTGTTCTGTATGTGAGCCTAGTTATATGGCCCTATCAAGTTAAATTTGAGATAGCTAAAGTGAATAAATGTTAACGTTATCAACTAATCATTCGCAAAAATGAATGCCTAACATTTACCAAGCATCAATCAAGAAAAATGTCTGAATGCTAGAAAAATGTACCCTGTATCCCAGAAAGCTCATATTCACGATAAAATGTAGATTTGGCTCTGGTTAAATATTATAGCTAGTCGCGGCGGGATTCAAACCCAGAGAGTTTAAAATCTGAAGCAAAATCTTCAAGTCTCATGCCACACAGCCTATGAAAAGTTGCGGCCCAAGCAAGAAAACAATACAACTAAGTAAACTTCGTATCTCTGATGAGGAAGTATGGCTAAGGTAAATATACCGACCTAACTAAGGTTCACCATTAGTATATGGCATGATTATAGAATTTGACAATCAAAATAGCTCATTTAAGAATGGAATGATAAATGATTAAAACAACTCAGGAAGCACGAAATACGGTTAGAAAAACTTGCAGCCCGTCCCATTCTGTCAAAGGAGTTATCAAAAAATAAATAAAAATAATCCGAAAAACATATCAGTTAAGAAAATGTGAGGCAGTGCTAAATGCAGTAGTGAAATACATATACAATAATTAAAAAATGTCCTAAAAGGTCCGATTATGGCAATTAGGCAAATAAATGTATCTTCGACATGGCAACAATAAATATGTACCTCTTCTGGTGAAGTCTGCACAGCCACAGGCATAGAGGTGTTACGGCCAGCTTCAGTGTACATTGAGTACTGTCTCATTCCAAGAGGAATGATGCCCGACAAAGTGGAATGGATAGGCTGTTCAACATTCTCGGCCGATTGCGTGGCTGCATCTGCTGGCTTTACCAATGTCTGAGCTCGAAAAGGAGGCGAATTCTTCAGCGGCGGATTTTCGCTGAAACGCACAGCTTTGCAAGGAGCAGATTCGGAGCGGGTAGATACTAAAGGAGAATATATAAACATCGAGGAAGAAATAGAGAAAAAAGAATATGAATAATATTACGGAGAAAACGCATGATCTGCGATAGAATATTCCTCTCATTAAAGACAGCTGTGCTAGCGCATGGCAAAATAAAACAAATAAATGATATTCGTAAGTAAGTAGGGTTTCGAGACTACCACTAAATCAGTGTAATGCGATGTATTCACCCAATTTAATTTAAGGTGATGAAGGACTGGTAGTAGAATTTTCCCATAATGATATGAGTTGAGCTGAGGTTTCCATTGAAT